GTATGACCCTGCTGCAACAGATCATGCTTGAGGCCTAAGCATGTATGGCCCAGCTGCATTTGACCTACTCCTTCTCCAGCTATAAAACGTCAATTTACTGATGTAACATGAGGAGGCCTGTTTGTTGGGGGTTTTATGTCCTGCCCAGTTCCCACAGCTGTTTAGTCCCAGACAAAAATCACACAGAAATCTCTATAAGTTATAAAGCTGATTGGCCCATTAGGTCAGACTTCTTACTGGCTAACTCTCACATCTTGATTAACCCATTTTTCTGATCTATGTTAGCCATGTGGTTCAGTACCTTTTTCAGTGGGGCAGCTTACATCCTGCTGCTTCGGTGGTATGGGCAGGAGTGGGAGGAACCAACTTCCTCCTCCCCAGAATTCTCCTGCTCTCCTTGCATCATTTTCACTTCCTGTCTGGTGTTCCCGCCTACACCTCCTGCCTGGCCAATCAGCATTTATTTAAAACATGATTGCCAGATTACAGACAATTCTCCCACATTCTGAGACTCTCACAAGAGTGTAAACTTTGTTTACAGTAAAAACATGTCTTAACTCCCTGTAACCTAATATATAAAAGATTCCTTCAACTCTTCTGATCTATGGTTTTACCTTATTACCCTTTAATCCTGTCCAATGTACCTCAGGGAACTACCCTCTCCAATCTCATTTATAAAAGAAACAAAAGAGCAAAGAAAAAAAGAATTTCTTAGAATCCTTCAAACAATATAACTTCGGAAGTCATCAAAATTATATGTACAGTGATTTTGTTTTGTTTTTCAAGACAGGATTTCTCTGCATAGCCATGGCTGTCCTTGATAGAACTCGCTCTGTAGGACCAGGCTGGCCTCGAACTCATATTCACCTGCCTCTGCCTCCCAAGTGCTGGGATTAAAGACATGCACCACCACTGTCCGGCTATGTACAGCTACTGATAAGATCCTTAAATGACTCTCTTGAGAAGTCTATGCCTGTACTTAGGGGTATGGTATCTTTTCCTAAATACTTGTCTATTAATGTTCTGCTTAAATCTATGTTAAAAACCCCTTCTTAATAAACTCCACCCTACTTCATAGTGACTTGTCCTGAAGTTCTTTTTTTTCCCTGATGTTTTGGTTTTTTTTCAAATTGATTCTTTTTTTTTAAGATTTATTTATTTATTATGCATACAATGTGCTGTTGGTATGTCTGCCTACAGGTCAGAAAAGGGCACCAGATCTCATTACAGATGGCTGTGAGCCACCATGTGGTTGCTGGGAATTGAACTCAGGTCCTCTGCAAGAGTAGCCAGTGCACTTAACCTCTGAGCCATCTCTCTAGCCCCAGAAATTCTTTTCTTTGATGAAATTAAGAATTCTGATCTCACTTAGTGGCGTTCTCTCAAAAGAACGCCTTAGGCCTCTATAGGCAGCAAGGTAGTTTTGCCTTGGTTCCTACTCTTGTTGCCACTAACCAGAAACACGTTTATACCCTTACAGACTCAGAAACATGGCAGTCACAAATCTCCCCAATTTGACTGTAAATAGAGTCTAATCCCAAGGAATAAAATCTCTAAAATAAAAAGACCAGCATTCCATTAAAGATGGCGACAGCACAGAAAAGGTGCTGTACTCACACTCGTTGGGTGCTGCACGGCGGCTTCATATTGCAGCCTCACTCTCTGGGGCATCATGACATCATCCTGTGTAAAGAGCACGTTTTATATTAATATAAAGCAACTCCAATGTAGTAAGAAAGGCACACAATCCAAGAACACAACAGCGTAGGCAACTCAGATGTTCATAAACCCGGACTCTCTTTGATCATCAAGAAAAAGCAACTATGTGACTGGTGGGAAAAAAATCTGTCAGCTGAAGAACAAGGTACAGATTTCCTAAGACTCAACAATGTTATCATCTGTGTAGAAAAGGTCCTCTACCCAAGTTAGATTTGGACAGCATTTTCCAGACATGGAACATCCAAGTCAATAAATATCAGATGGAAAAACAAACTACATCCAATATTGTTCTCAAAGATCACTCAGTGGGGAATGCAGTCACAGCTGCTCCAATCAGCAAACCGATACAGTATCACTTCACATACTTAAAAATTCAAACCCTAGGAAAGTGGACCAAGTTACTTATTAAGTGTACACATAGGTTCCTTTACTTCTCTGATCTTTCAGCACTCACCCAATATCTGACTCCGTATTTTTATTATTAAGAACAGTTAGAATTTATGCAACAGGAAGCAACATCATGGCTGATTCCTGAGGTGCTGGCAATAGGGAGCTCCTTATAAATGTTCCACAATATAAGATTTTGTGCATTTTCCTGCAGGAATGTTTCACTTCATAGTAAAATACGGTATTTTCAGAGGACAAATAATCAACAAAGATTTAAATATTTAAAAGGGTGTGGGAGTAGGTGACAGGGAAAATACTTATAAAATAATGTTACAATAACTGGACCAGAAATTAAGGGGTCACTTGCCACTCTCATCTCCTTACGCCCATAAACAAACAGATAAATAAGGAGTTAGGGTGTATGCCAATGTGGCTGACCCAGACTCCTGGGGGAAAGCAGATGACTTCTCTGCAAAGGACTAGGAAGTATAGAGTGCAGGAAATTTCTTGGTTTGATCGTGTTCTTTGATTAAGGCTAATAAGAAATCACAACAGCAGGATCCAGGTAGCATGACAAATGGCCCAGACAGTTTCCAGAATAAAGTTGTTAGTCACCTTCCAGGTAAAGAACCAACTCCACTGAGGGGCTTCATAAACGATTATGAGACAGAGAATTATGAAATGGAGACAGAAAGAATTGCCTATTGCCAACACTTTGGGGATCTGCTTTGACGCTACTTCCAGCAACTTCCTGTTTCGAGTGACCTCGGTTTGAGCTTTTGGGGCTCCACGGTCCTTTCTTTTCCTTATTTTTTTCATTATGTGTGCACTTAATGAATAACGAGGTCAACTTTCCTAGGGTTGAATTTAAGTATGTAAAATGATATTGTATCTGTTCTTTTGTCCTGGACATACTGATCAAAGCAGCTGTGACTGCATTCCCTACTACGTGGACTTTGAGAGCCATTATAATAACTATGACCGTGTGACCAATTACAGAAATGAGGCTATCAAAGTTCCAATACATTTCCACCTTATTTTGTTACAAACACATTAGGTAAACATCTTTGTTTCCTTCATCTCTTATTCCCCTATTTCAGTTTTGGGTTATGAGGAGACTCAACATCACTTGAAGACCAGGACTCTCTGATGAAGGGACTGTGTGTTCAGTCACAAGCAGCACAGCAGTACAGTGTATTACAGAACCACCTAACTCTGGCTGGACCCAAGTGTTGTGGAAGGAGATGTGTACACGCGCCAGGTTAGCAAAGGGTGGACACACATGTGACGATTAATTCTATATCTTGACTGGCCTAAAGGCTGCCTGGAAAAGTGGCAAGATGCTTAGGTCTGTGAAGGTGGATCTGAGAGAGAGAGGAGCACTTTTATCAGTGGACTGAGTCCAATTCTCCCACCCTTCTCTTGCACACCACACATATGCATAACCACACACACACACACACAGACGACTTTACTGTTCAACTTCTGGGTTCTTCCTAATGCACATGGAATTAACCAAGACTCTAATTTTACAGTTCAGGGATCTATACAAAAAGCACAAATGGAGTCTAAAGAATATTCAAAATACGATTCCTACCACTTCTGCTGTTGAGAGTCAAGAACTACAATAAGAGCAAAAGAGAATGGAATTAATACACTCACCAGCCTGGCCAAACGGCTGAGAAGCTAAGGAATATGAACAGAGACTCAATCCAAAGAGTTAACAGAGAAGCAGGTACTAAACTTTACAGACGGCGGTGACCAGTAATATAAATAAGGTCTTCCCCTGAAGCCACCAGAAAAAGAAGGTAGCCCAGAGGCTAGAGAATGGAAAGTTTGTTGCTGCTGTTGTTGTTGTTTTAATGAAAGCAAAGGAGAACTTCAATAAAGAGTCAGAAGTGTTGTTACTCAGGGGAAGGTTTCCCCTTCATGGAAGTCAAACTTGACCTGCTGGCTCCTGCTCCCTCTGTGGGCAGGACCACTGTGATCGGCTAATAAGAATCAGCTGGCACTTGAAATGTAACGGAGAGACTCTTAACAGGCCAAATCCAAGATGCTGTCGGCACCAACCGTGAAAGCGGAGTGCATTCATCTCAGGGCTCACGCCAAGGAATGTTACCTGGAGTTCTCTTCTCAGTGAGAAGATGATTTGAACCATCACTACTGGCATTCCCGGTTGTGCATAAAATTCCCAGAGGGGCTGAAATTCCACAATTATGAACAGGGAATCATCACTATGGAATGACGGGGCAGCCTGAAGAGAAGAAACTGGAAGCCTCACAGAATGAGTATGTATGGGCCCGAAGATGTTCTGTGTTTCTAAAAACTTGAGTTCAGTTTCCAGCACCAACATATCAAATGGCTTGCAGCCACCTGTAACTCCAGCTCCTTGGGACCCAACATCCTCTTTTGGCCTACTTGGGCAACTATACCATGGTGTGTGTGTGTGTGTGTGTGTGTGTGTGTGTGTACACTTTTTAACTTTAAAAAAGCATTAATAAGAATGAAATGCTATTCCATATTCTGACATAAAAATAGTAGGTGAAAGCCTGCTAGTCAAGAGAACTGAGAATAAATGATAGACAGGCTTCCGGTGAAGTCTGAGCAAGGCACACATAAGTGCAGAAAGGCCTTGGGGACACCAACAAATGCCAATGAGGACACACACTTTGCTTAAGTCTGCCTGTGTTTGGCGTTTGGATGGGATGTGAAAACTTAGGAAGAAACTTCCTGGTCAGGCATAACCTTGTGGACTGAACTATGGAGGACTAATGTACAATCCCAGCCACCTCCTGAGCCTGTTCTGAAAAACAGTGTTTGGCAATTTACATATGCCAACGGGCTAGTAAACCCACAGCACTCCGACCTGTTAGGCTTTCCCTTATCAGTGCTGTCAGGCCCTGATCCACTGGAGCCTCAGACAGTGAGTCTGACACAGCTGGCTTCCTCCCCATGTGGTTCAGTCTCTCTGCAAAGGTCCTGTCTGTCCAACTCCAGCACCTGTAGTTCCTTCCCGGAGGATTCCACATAAAACTTTTCTGATGGAGAAGCCACGGGATGTCGGCATACCAGACAGATAGCGGCACAGCAAACGGCACAGCAAATCACAGGCAATCCACTGCTATTCCACGGGCCAAGCAATATGCACTGGCCCAGTGACTAGTCCTCAAACCAGATGCTCTCCTACATGTTACCTTCCTTCCTTTCAAACTACACACATTCCCTAGCCTCCCATACAGCAACAGCATATAAACCTGGGATCATTTTAGGCTGGATGTGACCACGTGTGTGCTGGGCTTCCCCGCCATCACTATGATCATTCACGTATCTGTGGTCCTACTTCATCTTTTTCAGTTCGTTCCATCTAAAGAACCTTGAGGAGGATGAAGGAGCTCTGTCTTCAGCTCTGAATCTCTGCAGCCCTGCAACTATGAAGACCTTTGCTAGGATTTACCATCCAATGCAGTCCTTATCTGGAGTAGCAAGGATCCCGGGCTATGGGCTCATACCCTTCAAGAAGATGGCCAATTCAGACGCCATGCTACTACTTGGCTACACAAATGGGGAGTTTCCAAGTGCTAGGATTAAAGGCGTATGTCACCACTGCCCGGTGTAACTCCTGTTTTAAAATAACATGAGTCCACCTAAATTATAGACACACTCACATGAAAATTTGTAGTTCCCTGCACAGAGCTAGCTATAAGGCAAGAGAAAACTAACCAAAGAGACGGGTGTGAGATATGAGACGCAGGTCCCCGTTTTCCCTCCCCTCCTTGTCTGTCATGACTTCCAGAGTTAGTTACACACAGGCTCAGAATGAACAGCTTGCTTTCTGTTTTCAGCTTAAGGGAACAACTAAGCACCTGAAGGTGGAGCCAAAAACTTGAGGGTAAAGCTCAGTAGAACAGCAGCCCACACAGATCCTTTTCTGCCAGACACATGCACTGGGCCAAGGACAGTGACAGTCCCCACTTGCTTCCTAAAGCTTAAGTGGGTTCTGCATGGCTAATACCAAAGCTGTTTTATAAATAACCTCACCCTAAAACAGACAGGTCAAATACAAAAATCACACAGACACTTCCTCGTCCAACTGGCAACATCTGCCTTCAACAAGTTACAAGCATGCTGTCTAAATACAATAAAGATAACATTATGCAGAACTCTGACTTCAAAATGTCAGACCTCCCAAGGTAACCCTGTGGGTCAGTTCTCCTCCTGTCCCTTGCATGAAAGGGAGGCCGCATCTCCTGGACTATGTGACCTCCCTACCTCCATGTACCTGGAGTAACCAATGAGAGACAGGAACAAAACTTGTAACAGCTGTATAAACCAGTGGCCAACATATCATGGGCCCTGGTCTGCATGTTTCTAAGAAGCCAGGGACCCAACGTATGGAATAATTTAGATACATAAAAGTTGTATTTGTTTAAAACAAACTGCTTTGCTTTGCTTTATCTGTCAGGGTTTCTAAGCACAGCACAATTTGTGCACAGTCTCTGTTCCTCCACTGCAGCTAAGTGTCCTATTCCCAAGGATGCCCCATAAACGTGACAGTTCTGACAGTCTGCTAGAGTTCTCCATCAGTGCTCAGCGCACAGTAGTGCTCAGCGCACATTAGCCGGCTTCTGATTTCTGTTAATAAACAACTGTGAAACTCAGGAATCAAGAGCACAAGCATCTTAAGTTCTTGAATAAAATGTACAATCACCCTACCAGTGTGGTACCAGTTCACGCTGACATTTTGAAAACTTACTTTGTGGAAGTATCTTGCTAATTTAATTTGATTACAAATTAAAAGTTTAATATAACTTTGACTGATCTGAAACTCTGTATAAGCCTACCTGTCACCTCTCGGTCCACTCCTGACCCCCACCCACGAATCTGCTTCATGTTTTGCTCTAGCTGTCATGACCTGTTTCCATTTCTTTAATCTCTTAAGATCATGCTTGCTAGTACTGTGCTTATTTTAATGTTGTTTATATTCTCTGTGGTCCCATTTCACATTTATAAATGATCTTACTAGTGTTAATTGTTACGGCAGCGTAGAGCAACAACCTATTAAACTTGACTTTTGAGATTCATCATAACATGTCGACAAATTTATTTTTAAGAACCATACTAAAATTCACAGTCATTATTTGGTCAATATACACAAAGCCATTATAAACAAAACAGGGAGCTACTTACTGAATCCAAAAAGCAAAGGTAAGACCCGGTGCTCTGTGCGATTGCTTGGTTTTTAGAATATCCAACTGTTAGGGAAAAATAAAAAAGAGAGAAACCGGCTCTTAGAATTCAACGTTCAAGAGCATAAAACTATATATATTTTACACTCCAAGAAAGCTAAGGTCACTTCACACTACTAGAAAAACTTCAGGTATAATTTTGAAGGAATGAAAGGATGGTAAAGAGAACGCAAAGCCCATGTTCATTGCTGACAGCAGAGAATGCCAAGAATAAGTGACGGCAGGCACCTAGAACAATACTGAAGTAAAATATCCTTGGGGAGAGTAAAAGTCTGCTTGCACGGGAGCAGCACAGAGCCTACTTCTGTGTGACTGGTCGGCAAACACCTCAATTCGAATACTTCAAGGATGGCTAGCTGTGTCCCTAGTGAGGTGAGGAGACTGCTAACGTCTGTGACACCTGAGTGTGTCCACCCACCCCAGGTCATTGCCTGAGCATGAAGATTCAGCTCTGACTGCAGCATACGCTAATTAGTACTGACCCAACAGAACTTTATTTAGTCATGATTAGTCTTCCTAAAAGCCCACAGCTGGGTTACTAAATGCATATTAGAAAAAAACAACTTATTTGACAGTGGGAAGAGTCCAGGGTCTCACACAGACTCGGAGGTGATTCTTACTGTACTACTGAGCAAAGAGTTCAGACCCAGAGCAGAGATTGCAGGGGACAGAGAACTCAGAGCAAAGAGGTCCTCCTGGGCTTAAGAGCTAAGAAAGTGGTTGTCCTGGATGGAGAAGCCAGATCAGCCTGGGCTTCAGGGACTGGTGATGCCTTATCCCCAGGGGATAGATATTAAAGTGTGTGTGTGTGTGTATTATATTTTATTTATAATATATAAATTATATTTTATATAATATATATAATAAATATATATTATTTAAAGTTTCCTTCAAAGACATTACAACCGAGATATAAAAACCAAAGCAAATAAGAAAAATCCACAGCGACAACTAAATGAATGGTGCTGAAAACACAAGAGTTTGGAAGATAAAATCATCACAAAGAACATCCCAGAGAGAACTGGGCTGTAATTGATATAAACAAGAAATGAACAATGCAGGGCAAACACTGGAGAGCACCTGGTAACTTGGGCGTAGCCGTATTTAGGATGGAAGAACAAATCATTCCTGGAGGGGCTGACAGTTGGGCTAACGCAGCTCACCTTTGCCCTATGGGAAGGACAGTTGCAAAGGCTTGGAAATTTGGGACCCAGTGCAGAAAGTGACAGGAGCTCAGCCTGGTGTTAAAGGCAGAGCCATTAAAAGGTGTTCAGTCCAGAAGAGGGCACTAATGGGGCTTTTAACTCTACTCCTAGAAAAGACGACCAACACCTGAATCACGTTAACCAGAACGTTACAAGTCTTGATGCCACTGCGAAAAGTCACGCAAGGCAAAACAGATGTGTACAGAGTTGAGATAATAAATCTCTCTGGTATTTGAAGTTAAGACAAGCTGAAGAAAGTTGTCAGTCCTGAGGAACACCACCCTAACATGCATTTAGAGCTAACTATGACACTCTCGACTTTCTGCTGTAAGAAAGGCCTCTTATACAGGGTCTGTTAATACAAAAGAATTGCACCTCCCTCTCCTCCCCCCCAAGTGGGAGGAATGCTATAACTTAGAAGCAAGACACAAAAAATGGGAAGCTGCCCCGTTCACTCAGGCCCCTAAGATCCAACCCAAAGCAGCATCTTTCTGCAGGGTTAATCCCTAGAATTTGGTCAGTCCAAACCAGTTAGCAATGGCACCAGATTCTGATGAACACTGTAGGCATAAATAAAAGCAAAGGGGGAAACGACCAAGAAAGGTACAGTGATGCCTCCTACTGTGAGACAGGTTTGCCACTGCCAGAAACTCCAGCCATCCTGGCGGCTCAGGGCAAGCATGCAGGATAAAACCCTCCCGAGAACCTCAAAAACAAGATGACACTCCTCACAAGCACACTGAAATTAACAGAATTCTGCTACAAAAGTTGCTTATGGGAAGTCAGATTTTAAGAAAAACTGAATCCCTGAATCTGTGTAATGCTGGAAGATTCTCACAATGAATCTTCTCACAATGAATCTTATGTTTGGCAAAGACAAGGAATTTGCTCTAATATTACAACCTTGAAGAAAGTCAAATGTTTGCGTGTGGGGGTTCCATGTTTGGGGAGGCCAGTCCCTTTGTAAGGGCAGCTGGTTGCCATGGTTCCAACAGGAAAAACCTAGCTCCATGGAGATATTAACATTCCTCTCTCCTGGAAGAGGGGCAGTGGGCTGTGGTTCACTCTGCCCTTAGTAAAAGTCACATGATGAAGTGCATTCCTGTTGTTACGAGAATGTTATGAAAAAATGAGTCTTCCCCACTGCAAATAACCCAGCACTCCTGAAAACAGAACCTTCGAATTTATGCTAAAGACACAGGTAACACGTTCTACTTAACACATTACAGGAAAACATGTCTTTCCTAAGAGCCAACTAAATTCCACTGTGCCATACAGAACTGCCATGAATTCTCATTCACTTCCCAGACAATAAGGTGATGTCATCTCCCAGCACTCCACCTAGGGTCCTTAGTTCTATAATGTCCTTGTCATGGGCAGATGCATTCAGACACAATGACATCCAGTGACAAGCAATTTGTGTTTTATGAAAGACAAAATCTGTTTTAACAGTGGAGACAAGGAACATCAGTACCAAAATGCTCTTTCCATTCAATGACAGAGGTTGCAAAACCTCTCTCTTAAGTATATCAAGGAACATTTAGTTTCAAAAACAAAATTCATTATTTCAGAATTTCAGAAATTGAGACATATATTCTATGATAACCTATACATAGTTTTATACTTCAAAGATAATAAAACTAGGAAATAATTTCCAGATGATATTAAGATTTTCTAGACGTTAGGGTTGGATGAGTGGGGGAAAGAGCCTACCGGAACTGTACCACCTCAGATGTTACCATCTTCTGTGTGACAAGGTCTCTTGCAGACCTGGATGTCACCAAACAGGCTCAGTTGGCTGTCCCAGGATCTGCCTGTCTCCAAACATGCCACCACACCCGGCTTTTTGACACAGTTCTAGAAATTAAACTTGGGGCTTCATGCTTGTAAGGCAAACACTTTACAGACGGAGCCATCTCTTCAGCCCTAGGAAGTAGTTTTATTTAAATTCCGTCTTAAGAATTGTTCACGCCATTCTGCTTCCTCAAACAGCCATGATGAGGCAACATTCGGGTTTGTCTTGACAGAACAGGTTCAGCTGAGTCTTGGCAGCTGACCTCAGCTGCTCACATCTACCCTGTACTTCACCCAGAATAACAAACACAAAATGAACTAAACAGCGGGGGACAGAAAAAGGAAGGAACATCAGCAGGGCAGGCTTTCAGACTGGGAGGGTGCGAAATATAAGCTCCTCTCAGAAAGCAGGCAGTTTCCCGAGGACTGACAGAAATGTTCTGTTCTTCTAAGCTTGGCCTAAGGTCCTGAAGACACTGTGGCCCAGTACTCCATGCTACCTAGACTGATGTCTGGATATTGGGTGGGAATCCATGACAGCCCCGGCCCCCAAGAATGAAACAGGAACTGTGTAAGCTTATGGTGATATACACTCTAAAAATCGAGTAAAGCAAACATGGTAGCACAGGCCTACAATACCAGAAGGTTGAGGTCGGAGGGCTGGCTACTCAAGGCTGATGCCACTTTGGGCTACATGATGAGAGGGAGTGGGGAAAGAAAGGAAGGGAGGAAACATCACTAAGTGACCTGAGGCCACAGGACCATCATTACCATCTATGTTTCTAAAAGCAATCATCCGGCCGCAACACTAGCAGAAAAGAGCCGTGCAGCACCAGGTTTGGTAATGGTAAGGTTTGTCTCCTCCTCTTATTCCTCTTCCCGACAGTCACCAGATTATAACAAGCACACCCACACCTCTGCTTCCTCCACCTTCTAGTCACACAACTGTACCCCAAAGTCTCAAAGGAAGCTGTTGAGAGACCAGGCTTAGATCTAAGTCGGTCCTAGCAGCAGCAGGTCCTACACACCCAGGCTGTCACAAGCTGTTTTTTAACGGGAACCCTGCCTGCCCTCAAAATACACTAGGGCTGTATGGACTACCCCATCTGGACAACGTAATCAAAATGGGAACAGTGTGTGTGTACTGGTTTGACACCCAACTTGTCATAAGCTAGAGAAAAGAGAACCTCAACTGAGAAAATGCCTCCATCAAATTGACCTGTAGGGCATTTTCTTGGCTGATCACTGATGTAGCTCAGCCCACTGTAGTGATACCACCCCTGGTTAAGTGGTACTGCTGTGTATAAGACAGCGACCTGCTGAACCAGGAAGTACAAGCAGGTAAGGAGTGTTTGTTTCTCCATGGTATCTGCTTCAATTTCTGCCTCTAGGTTCCTAGTTTAAGTTCCTGCCTTGACTCCCTCAGTGATGGACTGTATGTTGTAAGGTGAAATAACCCCTTTGCTCCCCAAGATGTTTTTGTTAATGGTGTTCATCATAGCAACAGAACCCTGGCTAAGACAGCACGCTACTCTTGATATTTTAGAGCAGTGGCTTTCAACCCTAAATTTTTCTCAGCGCTCCTGGAATACTCTACCACTTCCCATGCTGAAACAGGGCTCTATTCCAGACAGACGCTGTGAGAATGTCTCAGAGAAAACTTGGGTACCAGGGGCTTTAAAGTATCACAGATGTTCCAAATGCAGCCACACTGGATACAAGTAACCACCTCTCGGCAAGTAACTTACCAGCTCTACACTTGAAGGGGAAAAAAATAGTTCAGCGATGGTAAAATGGCTTAGTGAGCAAAGGTGCTTGCCACCAATTCTGAGGATCTGAGTGTGGTCCCAGAATCCCTATGGCAGAAAGACAGCATCAACCTCCGACTACGCACATGTGCTCTCACACTCACACCATAAATTAAAAGCTTTTAAAAATTAAATTTTCTATTAACAAAAACTAGCGAAAGAAGATCCATCTGTCACTACAGATGACCTGACCTATCCC